TGGAGTTGTTTGGTATCCTGATTCCTTGGGATTCTGCATATCTTTTAGATAAACACAATTTTCTGAACTCTTATTTTATGCCACATTCTATGTTGTCTTATATAATGCGATTATTTGTAAATTTGCCTTCTCTCCCTTGCTAGATTGCAAACTCCTTGAGGGTAGGAAGCAGGTCCCTTCGTTTTTATCGCATTGTTGCCCCAGTAGATTACCGTGCCCCTAGGGGCACTAGACCAAACACGTGTTTGCTCAGTGGTTACAGTGAATAGATTTCGGTGGCAGCTGTGGTGGAAGGATGGATCTCCTGTAAGCAGCGTTAACTTCATTACTTTGTACAGCAGTGGAGTGATCACCTGGAATAACTTTTGTGGACTGTAACTTAGATATTTTAGGGTTATGAGAAACACTTAATGTCTGAGCCTTGGAATTCTCGTCTACAAAATGAAGGGTTTAGGCTGAAGGACTTCTGAGGTCCATTCCAGCTCTAAATCTGTGATCCTATAATCAACCGAATGTGGGGATGCCAAACAGATGTTACCGTTTAAAGGCCAAGTGAGGCTTTCAAGACTTTGCCACAGAATTCTTCTGATTTGGGAGTTTTCCATAATGTCTCTAAAATCTAGTTGGGAGACAGATTGTGTACTAGAATTTTCCCCTGGCCAGTTCTACTAATCACTGCGATGGAGAATTAAATCCCTGAAACTCTTTTGGAAGTAAGCAGTGAGAAGGAAATTTTGGTGAGTAGGAAGAGTATTGCCAGAGAATTGGTTTATGATAGAAGCTCATGTGTTAAAAACCTGCAGAGAAGGACGTTGGAAAATTACAAGAAATATTGCCTCGTTAACCATTGAAAAGCAGCGCTGGGGGAAATGAGGCTCCAGAAAGTTTGTCATGATAACAACTGAGCCAGAATGCTTAGCGGTGAAAGGAGATGGAAGACAGCGGATAGAAGTGAGGCGGGAGGGCAGCTAGGTGGTGCAGTGGATGGAGCACCGGCCCTGAAGTCAGGAGGACCTGAGTTCAAATCCGGCCTCAGACCAAACACTTGACACTTACTAGCTGTGTGACCCTGGGCAAGTCACTTAACCCCAATTGCCAAAAAAAAAAAAAAGAAGAAGAAGCAGCAGCAAAAGGGGACAGATGAGCCGGCATTTGTATTATGACCTGGAGCCAGAAAGATTTCTAGAAGTTGAATTCAAGAAGAGTTGAATTCAGCTTCTAGAAGAGTTGCATCTTCTAATAAAATACAAGATTCTTGAGGGCAGGAGCTGTTAAATCTTTGTGTTTGTAGCCCCTTGCCCAGCACAATGTCGCCCACTTGTCTAGCGTCTGATAAATGTTTGTAGAATTCAGGTGGAGTGGAAATAACATGTAGGAAAGATTTTCGCAAGCATTGCTGGACCTAGGGAACCTCGTGGCTCCAAAGCTGGAGGACTTGAGTTCAGATCCTGCCTCTGATACTTCCTGTCTGTGTGGCCTTGGGCAGCTGACTTCACCTTTCTGGGCTCAGTTTGCTCATCTGTAAAAATGAGAGAATGGGATAAGAAGGCTTCTGGGTCTCTTAAAATCCTGTGTCTCATAAAAATATAAAGAAATCTATATGAGCATCGTTTTAGAGGTACCAGATACATGTATCAAAGTAAGATTTTCCACTCTAAAAGAAAGGAAAAGCTCCTAAAGAGGTGGTGAGAGAGGGGATGTCAACAACCACCAATCTAAATGCCCACTTTCTCTTCTATTTCAAGTCTTTTGAGAGTGGTATATGTATGTTCCGATAATATTTCACGTAACAGATAGGAAATTGCAGCTATGAGAACCTCCCTGAATCTTCTCTTCTGCAGCTCAGTAGCCTAGCTCCTTCACCTCATCCTCAGATGACCTGGACCACTGCCATCCCCGTTGCCTTCCTCTGGCTGGTCTCCGGCTTATCATTGTCCCGCCTAAAGTAGGAATTGAGCAGAGTGCTCCAGATGAGGCCTGCCCAGAGCAGAGGGCAGAAGGAGAAGCCGGGCTTCTCGATACATCCTCAGATCCAATGAGCTTTTTTGGCCACCACATTGAACTGCTGACTCAGACTGAGCTTGCATGCCCTAAGGCCCCCAGCTCTTTTTCTGATGAACTGCTTCCCTCATCCTGTATGTGTAGGGTTGATTTGTTTTTTTTTTTAACCCAGTATAAGACTGTATGGTTGTCACTGTTGAATTTCATCTTACTAGATTCAGCCCAGTGCTCTAGCCTCTCATGATCTTTTTTGCATCCTGAATCTATCATCCAGTATATTAGCTGGAGGGGCAGCTAGGTGGTGCAGTGGATAGAGCACCGGCCCTGGAGTCAGGAGGACCTGAGTTCAAATCCGGCCTCAGACACATAACACTTACTAGCTGTGTGACCGTAGGCAAGTCACTTAACCCCATTGCCTAGCCAAAAAAACAGAAACAAAAACAAACAAACAGTATATTGGCTGGGCCTCCCAGCTTTGTGTCCTGTAAAAATGAGCATGCCGACTATGCCTTTATCCCAATCCCTGATAAAAAATGTTCAGTAACGTAGGGCTAAGTTACAGATCTCTGGGCCTCGCCACTGGAGTGTGCCCTACCCTGGTGACACCGAATGAAAATTAACAACTACATGTTGAGTCCCAGCATTCAACCCCGGATGGTGATGACCAGTTACCCCCAAGTACAGCCATCTGTCTTCATCAGTGAATAACGTGGAATACTTTATCGACTTCTATTTAAAAGTCTAGGTAAGCTGTGTGGACTGCAGTTTCCTCGTTTACAAGTTTAATGACCCTGTCCAAAAAAAAGAAATAAGGTTGGTCTGGCATGACCTGTTCTTTGTCATCACCTCTTCACTCACTGGTGATTCATCTTTCTGATATCTAAGCCAAAACCGTCCCAGAAATCCAAGTGAAGCTCACCGCCTTGCGCTTTGCAGATTCTGCTCTCTTACCTTCTTAGAAAATTGGGGCCACATTCACTCTTCTCTGGTGGTGCCTGCCCCCTTTGCTGCGGTTTTCACAGCTGATTGACAGTGGCGCAGCGGGCCTGTGTGCTCTTTCAGTGCTGGAGGAAATGGTTCCTTTGGGCCCCAGGATTTGATTCCATCCAGGACAGCGATGGACCTTCTTATTAATCTGACTTGTCTTAGCTATCGAAGCCCAAGGAGTCATTTTTTCCTCTCGTTTTCAGTGTAAAGGTCATTCTCCTTGGCAGAGAAAGCAAGCCAAATAAAGATTGAATAGCTCTGCTTAATTGGCAGCCAGGAAAGCAGTTCCAGTCTTAGGCAGCGTTAGAAGATGCACAGGGTCCAGGAATAGGGTTGGGATGGGTAGCGGTTCTGCATCCTCCTTCAGTCTGGAGTGTCGCGGTCAGTTCTTCATGCCGCGTTTTAGGCAGGATATCAGTAAGCTGAGGAGTGTCTAGAGGAAGGGGACCAGGATGAGCAAGGGCTTGGAGTTCATACCGTGTGATGGTCAGTTGAAGGACCTGAGAATGGCTGGCCTAGAGCAGGCCTAGGAAGGATATAACCATTGAGCTCCCTTCAGCTGTCAGGAGAGCTGGCTCCTGGAAAAAGGACTCGTTGTGCTTGGCTCCAGAAGGCAGAACTGGGAGTGGTGTAGGGGAGTTGTAGAAAAAAACTGCCTTAAAATGGAAGGGATCGCTTTAGCAAGTCGTGGGTTCCACCTCGTTGGTACTCCCTACACAGTAAATTCCCGTCAGTCCTCGGATGAGATAGCAGCTTGATCAGCTTTGAAATCCCTCACAGCTTGGCCCCAACCTATCTTTCTCTATTAATGCATCACTGTTTTCTTTCCTGTTCCCCGTGTTCAAGCCAACTGACCTTCCTGCTTTTCTCACCCACTCCATTCCGTCTTCTGACTTCTGGCCTTTTCCCAGGTTGTCGCCCTAGCTCTGGAATCCGTTCTCACCCTGAGACGCTTGAGTTACTCTGTCACTAGCTGTACCTTGGACAGGCCCTACTTGAGCCCAGAATTTAATAGAAGAACAGATTGCTTGCACTTGTGAAAAGAGCGTGTTGGAAAGGGCTTTCAGCAATTCTGGACCACTCCTTGCTGCCAGGAGTTTCATTCTCTTGATGATACTGTATGGACTCCTGGTCTTGGGACACTGAGATCTGAGAAGAATCCCAATTGTAGGTGACCCAAATGGCAATAGAAGAATCAGATTTTTTCTCTGATTTTTGCACACTTACGTTTATCCAAGCATAAGTCTTTTACTTTAAAAGTTTTTCCAATGGTGCATAAACTCTCCTAGTAACCTCGGGGACTATATACTCACCATCAGGAAATATTGTAGAAATTATGGCATTAAATTCAGAGCAGATAGTGAGGTGTGTGATCTTCAGAGTGCATTTTCTTGTCTTTTGTGACATGTTTGTTAAAGTGCTTTGACTCCTGCAAGTCTGCCATCAACTTGTGTAAGACAATGAGGGACCCCAGTAAATATAAGATCGTTGGAAAGGTTTCAATGAACAAGCATTTATTAAGAGCTTACTATGTGTCAGGCATTGGGCTAAGGGCCAGAAAGTCAAAAGAAAGGCAAAAACAGTCTCTGCCCACAAGGAGACCAGATTCTAACAGAGGAGGTGCTATTGCAATATTATGTACAAACAAGATGTGTAGATATCTGGTCAATTGGAAATAATCTCAGAGGGAAGGGAGGGCGTGGGCAGGGCCAGCCTGGGAAAGACCTCCTGTGGAAGGTGGGATCTGAGTTGAGCCTCTTCAGAAAACCGCCTCTAAACAAGGAAATGTGGGACGTAGACTTGGCTAATAAAAGGGTCAGATGATGGTTCCATCTTTAAACTACTTTGAATTGGTTTAGAATGGCACATTCTTGTCTTCGGTGTGTGGCTGTCTGTCACTTGGCTTGACATGAGTTCTGCTTGCTCAGTGAGGGCTTGAAGGAGGACGCGTGGATTTCCTGTTAATCTGTCCCCTTCCCTCGCTTTCTCTCTCTCTCTTTTGGTACCTTCAGTGGTGTTTCATGCCCCGCCTCCAGCCAAGATCAAGCGCGAGCTGCACAGCCCGTCTGCCGAGCTGTCCTCCTGTAGCCATGAGCAAGGCCTTGGTGCTAACTATGGCGAGAAGTGCCTGTACAACTATTGGTAAGTAGCTGGGGGGCCGGACCGAGGCCCTGTGGGGGCGTGGGACGTATGGGGCATCCTCTCCAGGGCTCGGCCCATTGGGAGACGCAGAGATCCCGCAACTTGAGGAGCCTGAGAGACTAGGAATGATCCCCTTCAAAGCCCCGGGTACATGGGTCCCTCCTCCTCTTCTGCGCCCTCCCCGTTAGGTCTGTCCTATGTTAATGTGAACTTTAAACACCAAAGATGCGATCTAGAAATGGGAGCAGATGCAGAAGGCCTCGCCGCTGTGCCCTTTACTTAAGGAATATCCAGGCCTGTGGGAATAGGGGTTACTTGAAATCGTCCTTTGCTCTAAATACAGTAAATGTAGATCTGCCTGGCAAGGGGGGAATGGGAGGGGAGACGTGGTGTTATTTCTAGTAATGTTCTAGCAGAAATAAACTCTTGGGTAGAGAGCCTGGTTCATTCCAGGTCATTCTAACAGAACACATTATACAACATATAATATATTAAAGGGAACCTATGGGTGGTATATATGTGTTTCCCCATCCTCCGAAAAAAAATCCCTAATGATTATTTAAAAGAAAAAACCGGAAGCAAGCAAGGACTAAAATTATCTTTGAGAAAATCACTCCAAGTGTTAAGTGTGTGACGTAGCCACTTTTCTGAGGCACAAGCATTCCCTTGGGGCTGCCAGCAATTTCACTGTGTTAATGCTCTCACTTCCTGCCAACAGTGAGATGCAGAGGAGCCTTGGAAGGGGCAGGGGGGCCAGGCCAGTGGCCCACTTGCCACATTATGGTCCTTTTCCTTTTTTCTTCTGTTTACAGTGCCTACGATAGGAAGCCCCCCTCTGGGTTCAAGCCATTAACCCCTCCTACCACCCCCTTGTCACCAGCCCATCAGAATTCCTTGCTACCCCCTCCTGCTTCTGTGCAGGCTTCAGCCCACGCTCCCACGGCAGGCCCTGTGCAAGGTGTAGGCCCAGGCCCAGGCCCAGCCCCTGCCCCCGCCCCTGTCCCCGTTCCCACCCCAACTCCTGTCCCTGCCCCCCACACCCTTCATGAACCCAGACAACAGCAGCAAACCTTTGCCATCCCTCGGCCACCACATCAACCCATGCCGATGCCAAAGATGATGCCTGAGAACCAGTATCCATCTGAACCAAGGTAGGCGCCCGTCTGGGTCTGCATCCCTGCCCTTTGGCCTTTCTCCTCTGCTGCGTGCCCGGGAAGCACCGCCCAAGGAATGCCGCTGTCTAGCCTCTCCCCGTCTGAGCCCTGGGTACCAGCCCTCGTGATAGCTCGGTCTCCTTGAGCGTCAGAGATGTGCCCTGTGGTTCACAGACATCTCGCCATCTTTGTGAAGTTGGCCCAGAAGGGGGAAATGATGCTGTTCCCATTGGAGAGAGGCAGACAGACAGGTCAGCACAGGGCCCTGCCCCCAGCCTGGGGCTCCCCTCAGGCTTCCTTCCTCACAGTCTACCACTAACAGCCAGCCAAGGCCTTGGGGTTGTCCACCTGCCATTGTCTTGTTGCCTTGTGCATCCGTGTTAGGGCAGATCTCCACATGCCAGTCTCAGCAGACAGCTTCATTACTTACATTAGCCAAGTACCTTGTAAAAGGTGGTGTGGTGCAGTGAACAGAGCTTTGGACTTGGAGTCAGGTAGCCCTGGATTCAAATCCTGTCTCAGACATTCACAATGGCACTCAGCCTTTCTGTGCATCTGTTTCCTCATCTGTAAAACAGAACAGTTCGTCTCAGCAGCTCTAAGGTGCCTTCCAGCTCTAAATCTGGGAGCCTGTTAGAATGACCCACTTCACAACAGAAATCTCTTGGCTCTGTGGCAGTGTTTTCTCTGCTTTCCTATGAGAAAGATGGAGGTACCGAGACCCGTCCAGGATTGGAAAGCCAAAGCTGGCTTCTGCACTCCTGGCCAGTTAAAATCCAGGGCTTGATGTGTTTCCGAATTTGCTCCTGTCTAATATCTCCTCTCCCCACGGAAAGCAGTAGGACTGATGAAGGTGAAGTGGGCTCAGATTGCGTGTCAGGTTCCATAGATGAGTCACAGACCCGCCTGGGGTCTTGCCAGCCATGGGATGTGGGCAGGTCACTTATTGGCTCCTAGCCTCAGTTTCCCCACATACAAAGTCATCCCTCTGATACCTCTCCTATCTCCCCACTTCCCTTCCCTGGGTGGTGGGAAGATCAGTGAGAATGAGAAGTTTGTAAAAACCACGAGGTCGCCTCAGAAACAGGAGGTGGGGCCGTGGCAGCCTCGGGGCTGCAGCCGTCCTGTTCCTGACCAGCAAGATCGGCCGCCTTCCCTCCTGGGCTTGAGAAGGGAAGGGCCTGGCTAGGCTTGGATCTGTGGTGTCCTGGAAAGGATGCTGCCGCCGCCTTTGATTTTAAATGAAACACTAGGTTCTTTCTTCCCTTCTTTTCCTTTTCCCATAAAGGCACCAACAACATAAACTGTACCTCGACGGTCTTATTTCTGGTGGGGGGGGGATGGGGGGAGTGGTTACTATCAAAAGCCCCCTCTTGCCTTGATTGGCTAGGAGATGGTGAAGCATCTGTGCTAGGTGCTGGGGACACAGACAGACCCAGAGCAGGGCGAGGCTCTCACTCTGTCTGGATAACCATTGTCAGGGGGAAGTGATTTCAGTTAAATTAGGTAAACATTCAGTAAGGCCCTCCTATGTCTGAAGCACCTTGGGCGTGGTCCAGAAGGAGCCCAGCTTCCTAACTCCTCTCCAGCCTTTGAGATGAAGCCTGCCAAAGCCCAGCTCTGCCACTGTTCCCTTAAAGCTGGATGAGGTCCTGCCCTTAGGGAGCTTACACTCTAGTCTGAGAGAGCAGAGCTATACAAAGGACTAGGATGTAACTGGGAGTGTAGAAGGTGCCACAAAGAAAAGGTTCCCAGCGCTGTGACATGTCGAAAGAAGGAGAGAAGAATTCCAGGCTTGGGGGTCAGGGAAGGCCGCAGATGTTAGACGTGATTAGAGAACCGGGATATTCCGGCTTGCCTGCCCTAGAGTCTGTCTGAAGGAAGCAACAGAAAATGGAGGGGAAAAGCTTGAGTGGATCCCCAGGAGGAAGAAGGGCCTTCAATGCAGTGAGTGAGTGAATAAATTCAGTTCGGTTCAGTAAACATTTATTAAGCACCACTGTGTGCCAGGTACTATGCTAAGTGCTGGGGATACAAATAAGAAAAAGACAGACAGTCCCGGCCTCAAGGGGCTTACAGTCTAATGGGGGAAGACCTCGCACAAAAGGAAGCTGGGAAGGGGGCAGGGGGCCCTGGGGCTGCTGATGCCAACGTCTGAGCCCTCTATGAGGGAAGGCTTTGGAAAGAGTTCATTGCCTTCCAGTCAGAGGGGAGAGGCAGTGGAGAATTCATGAGTTAATGAGAGAAAGTAAGAAAAAGCATTTATTAAGTGCCAACTGTATGCCGAGCACTGCTGTAAGGGCTAGAGCCCTGAACACCAAGGTAAAGTGCCCTGCCCTGCCGGTTACCCCTAGGATCAACTATAAAGCTTCCGTTTCACATCAAAAGCCCTTCCCACCCAGACACTTTGTTGGTTACTGGTTTTCTTAACATTTACTCCCCTCCAAACATTGGCTTACTCACTGTTCCTCCATCTTTGACCACCATGCCTTCTTTTGCTTCAGGCCTGAAATATCCTGCCCTCTCCCCCCTGCCTTTTAAGCCTCAGCCCAGATCCTACCTTGTGCCTCTCCCAGTGCCTGCCCATCCCGGCCAGGGCCTTCCCTCTGAGACACGCACTCTGGATATATTTGATGTCTCTAGCTATGTACCAGGAAGAAGAGTCAGCCAACGAGCATGATGAGAAGAAGCCATCGGACGGGTAGGAGAGCCAGGAGAGAGCAGAGCTCAAGGAGAAGAGGGTGATTAAATGTCAAAGGCTGCAGAGAGGTCGAGAAGGCAGCCCAAAAGTGCATTTGTATGTTTTCCCCAGTAATGATGAGGATCTATACTGAGCCATCCAGCTACTCTGACCCAGCCCTCTAGCTTCCCTGGTGACCATGTAATGAGTACGTTCAGCTTTTGTTGTTGTTCAGTCATGGAATTGTATCCAACTCTTCAGGACCCCCTGGACCATGGCACACCAGGCCTTTCTGTCCTCCACCATCTCCTGAAGTCTGTCCAAGTTCATGTTCAGAGCTTGCAGGACACAGTCTATCGGTCTCATCCTCTGCCGTCACCTTCTCCTCTTGCCTTCAATCTTTCCCAACATCAGGGTCTTTTCCAGTGAGTCGCATCTTCTCATTATACATCCAACATATTTGAAGCTTCAGTTTCAGTATTTGACCTTCCAGTGAGTAGCCTGAGTTAATTTCTTTAAGTATTGACTGATTTGATCTCCTTGCTGTCCAAGACACTCTCAAAAGTCTTCTCCAGTCCCACAATTCCACAGCATCAGTTCTGCAGCCTTCAGCTTTCCTTCTAGTCCAACTCTCACAGCCATACGTTGCTGTTGGAAAAACCATAGCTTTGACTTTGACCTTTGTCAGCAAGATGGTGTCTCTGCATTACACTGTCCAGATTTGCCATAGTTTCCCTTCCAAGGAGCATGTGTCCTTTAGTTTCATGGCTGCAGTCACTGTCTGCAGTGATCTTTGAGCACAAGAGTATACAATCTGACACTATTTTCATTTCTTCTCCCTCTGTTTGCCAGGAAGTAATGAGATCGGTTCTTGCCAATAGTAGTAGATGTAATGATCATCTGAATTTAAATTCACCCATTCCTATCCATTCAAGTTCACTGACACCCAAGATGACAATGTCTGATTTTTCCGTCTCTTGTTTGACCACATCCAGCTTACCTTAGTTCATAGATCTTACATCTCACATGCCGGGTTCTTATGCAGTATTGATCTTTCCAGCATTGGGCTTTCTTTTTGTCACCAGAGGCATCCACAGCTGAGCTTCCTTCAGCTTTGGCCCTGCCCATTCATCAGTACTGGAGCTACTTGTAGTTGTTCTCTGCTATTCCCCAGGAGCCCATTGGACACCTTCCAACCTGAGGGGCTCATTCTCCAGTGTCATCTCTTTTGTCATTTTAGTCCTATCCAGGGGGTTTTCTTGGCAAAGATATTGGAGTGGTTTCCATTTTCTCCCCTCCACCCCACCCCTGTGGATCACTTTTTGTCAGAACTCTCCACTATGACCTGTCCGTCTTGGGTAACCCTGCATGGCTTAGCTCCTAGTTTCATTGAGCTCTACAAACCCCCCCACCATGACAAGGTAGTGATCCGGGGGAGACTGGAGATAAGGCTGTGCTATCATTCTAGTTTCACTAACATTGCTTCTTCAACCACTATTGCTTATGTAGGAGATTTATGTAAACAAGTAGATGGAAGTTTTCTTAACAGTGTAAATTAAGCTCCCATCATTAGAAATTAAATAATATATTCTTACAGAGAATGTTTGTACTGTATAGTTGAAGGAAAAATGGGGACCCTGGGCAAAATTGGGAAATGTCACTTTGATCTGCTGGTTCTTTGTTTCTTTGTGGCACCCTCTCACTCCTTAATGGTGTCTCTCCCACGCCATCCTGCCCCTAAACAAGCCAGTGATAGGGCATTTCTGTGTATATTACTGTAAGAGAAGTGTGGGGGCAAGTTGAATGAGAATCTCAGAAAAAGATGATAAAAACTAGGAATTGGAGCATCACAGACCAGAAGTATTGGGGGCCTGAGGTGGGATGGAATGAGATTTGTCCCCTTAATTATCCAAGAAAGAGGAATAGGATGACATGTCTTTCTTTGTCAAATTTACCTTATTAAGGGAGTATACTCCCTGGAGTGTACTTTTGGAGCCTGGCATTCAGGCCCCCCTGGTTCTATTCTCTGGGGAGAATAGAGAAGAGGAAGTACCAACCCCATGCCTTAGTAAAGCAGGGCCTTCCATAGGGCACAGAGGCCCAGAACAGGCCCCTGCCTGGCTTTGAAACCACTGGGTTAGCTGCCTGCTACTTGTTGTGAAAGCTTTGAGATCCTGGGACCCTGGGCTCTGCCACTCACACACTGCCCTGCCCAGTCATCCCCATATGTGTGTGCTCAAGCTCCCCTCCACATTGTCTTTCTCGAGGAGAATGAAAACTTGGAGAGCAAGAGCTGTCTCGGTTGTTTCCCTTAGCA